GATGATTGTTTGTACAATGGGACAAGGGGGAAAAGGAATGGGCGGGGAATGAGAGAGAGAAAACAAATGTGCAATGCAATCGTGGAACGACTCGTTGATTCAATGGATTTGGATTTGTGAATCAGGTACCAATTTCGTCAAGATCTACCACCCGATCAGGGAGATTCGGGGGAAGACGTAACTTGCACCCAAGTTGTTAGACATCGATCGAGTAGCCCTGGGGTTCACGGTTTCGGCACTAAACTCGATGGTTCACTCGATGGTTCGCGTCCGGACAGATTCGCAGACTGGTGATGAGTCCATGAAGGACAAAATGACCGTTCAGTGCTCTTTGTTGGAATTCATGGAAACGGATTGAAAAACAAATCGCTTATGATTTTTTGTACTGTTGTTTTGGCCGTTCCAGCCTAACCACCTGCTCTTTACAACAGGTTTTTGGCATTGGACGCATCCATCCCTCTGACATTACATCACACTTTTGTTTTATTATGCAAGTGTCAGTATGCTGAGCTCATTTGTCACACGCATCCCCCCCCCTAATTTTCTTCCACTCCTCCACCTTCTATCATCTCTTTAAATGTTACCCGATCAGATGTTCTGGAGTATGTTTGGCATGGTACGACAGCATTTGCTTCCCGTTCGTCGTCCGAAAGTCACATTTGAAATCGGTGGGACCAAGATCGAATCAGAGATAATGCAAGATTTGAAGAAACGAATTCTGTTTCAACAACACTTGAAAGTCGTCGATGTGGTGAGTGATTGTGAGCTTTTTAGCTTTTCTGTGTTTGTGCCTCAGAGGCGAATCTGTGGAGTGCTGAGTTCACGCTGAGCAGTGTTCAACTGTTCCGCGTACACCAGCCGATCAGTCGAAGTACCGTAGAACACGTAATCGGAAAAATATTCTGTCTCAGTTGATGCAGTGTGTTTGTTCTCGTGTATTCACCATAAACGGTGTACCAGTCTAGCGGGTTGATCAACCGTCCGATGCCGCACTTTCTTGTTTGTGTGCGGGGGGGGACGGGGGTGTACTTGACGGTCTGAGTAGGACTCAAAACGGTACATTTAAAGCGAGGAAAATATAATGCATCTTTGTAACTGCAGGCACGTAGCGCGTAATGTAATACACGCAATGTTTATCTGCACAGATATGCAATATGCAGGTAGTCGATCGAGCTGGTGCAAGCGCGTGACAAACATGTAGGTGGATAGTATCCCTTTACGGGGATACCATCAGACAAACTTCCGTTTGCAAACTTCAAGTGTGCGTCAACATCTATCGTGTTTGTCATTCGTAATATACAAGGAAATTTGGAAAACATGGTTGATCATTTTCAAACAACACCCTAGAAACTGTATAACAGTCTTCAGCAGAGTAGAAGAATTCATCGAAAAGCGGTGAAAAACATGGGCGGCAGCGGGAGG